TAAGACTGGGATGAGATTGTGGAGAAGTGATCTTTGCGGTTAACAACTCGCAGGACGCCACGAGGAAGGACACGCCCTTTTACTTGGTGCACGAATGGGACGCAAGGTCCACCCTCCGAGCAATGTCCTCATCACTGAAGCGAGGTGTCGGGCGACAGTCCGATGCATTGGCGTGGCGCCGAGAGGTCAACAGGCAACAGGAGGTTGCGTTGGAAATGGCTAAAGAGTACCAAGCAGTCGAGAAAGCTCGGCGTGCCCAAAAGCATAACGAGGCTTTGAGCCGAGCGGAACGTGCTGCGCTTCCACCTTCCGCGACTGGTGAAACCTCGGAAGGTGATCCGACAGGTGCAGAGGGTGAGGGTGACTCACCAGACCCCGCACCGAAGTCTCTCTTCCAGCCTGGTGATCGTGCGTGGCTTTACATGGAACGCGTCAAGCCAGGGTTGACCAAGAAGTTGGCCCATCGATGGCATGGTCCCTTCCGCATCAAACAGAAGGTTGACGAGTATGCGTACGAATTGGATTTGCCTGACAAGAGTGGTTATCGGTTCTACCCGGTAGTACATGTGTCTCGGTTGAAGGCGGTGAACGAGTTTGGCGATCGACCGAAGACTCGACTCGCCGCTGAGGTTACCGAAGAGACGCGACTAGACTTCGACGAGGAGTTACTCCCGGAGGATAGTTTGGAACCCGACCACCTGGCGGGCGAGTATGAGGTTGAAGCCATCTTGGATGACCGAATTCCCCTCTCGACGAGCACTGAGCGAGCCGTCCGAGAGTTCAAGGTGAAGTGGGTTGGCTACGACGAACCCTCGTGGGAGCCCGCGTCGAATCTGTCTTGTGGCGGACTGCTGTATGACTATCTACGCGAGAAACGACGTGACCGAAGGTTGCAAATGGTCCAAGTCGCTGACGAGGACTAGTTGCACCCCTCTCACAATGATGAACTGCCGGCAGGGCTACGCAGCCTGCCCCAGCAGACGAAACATGTTACTGCGGAAAGAAGATTGTATATTTGTTTGTTGAAGTGGACAAGACTTTACGAAGTGGAGATCACGACTGGAGAAACTATGGAGAACAGCTGAAGAAGGACAAACGACTACTGAATTGCATGGGCGAGCTAGTTACACTACGAACGAACTGTCTGAATACCCTGATCTAGCTCGACCTAAACATGAAGGAACGATGGAGAACTGGAACGAGGCTTAGGCGTCCGAAGACGAGGCAACCTTGGCCAAAAACGCTGAGACGCGCAGCCGGAGAAACTTCGGCTTGCGCGGCAGATTGATCAGCAGCACTTGGAGGCGAACGTGGCGCGTCAGCCGGAGTCTCGCTGGCTGGGGCCTCCTCAACAGGGGCCTCCGAAGCCGCGACGCGATCTTGAACCGAGTCCTGCGTTGCTGTTGCTGCATCTTGAGCTCCTAGCGCTTGTGTAGCTTCGCCCGAA